AAAAAAAAAAATGAAATTACGTTTCTATAGTTTATCTGAAATCAGAGAAACAAATTAAGCATCTTAAAAAAAGACAACTTTCAAAGTCTTAAAACTTGTATAACTAATTAATTCTCCGACTTTCAGTTTTAGTACAGAATTTTATTTTAACGAATACACTACGCGACGTTGAACTAGTGACTTGCGTTACGTCACTTCGATCAGCGTAACGTTCGTTCAGTTAAATGAATATTTCGAACGTCTTTCCAACGATAAACGTAACGCATCAAAACCGCCGATGAATATGTAATTGCCGTGCAACGCTCCAACGAATCTTCCAAACGCATCGCGAGCATCGCGTCGGAACAATAAGTTCGTTCGAGCAATCCTCTAATCAAGCCGCGAGCTTTAATCACTCGGCAGCGAAATACGAGCATTATCCTATTATCAATACGCGGTTAGATCGTTGGAAAAAGGTGTCCGGACGGTGCACGTCGAAACACCGCGACAAATCTGCAAAGCCTCTCTCCTCCTCCTTCGCGTCGCCAACGGTCATTAAGCTGATGCTAATGAAAAAGATCTCGTAACTATCAACTGGACGCAAACTACACGCTCCGTTCCCTCTAATATAGACTCCCAACGGTAGAAAACAAAGGAGCAGAGTATTGTAATTACTCTGTTCCCCGCCTCCATCCCGCGAGAACTCTCACACTCGCGCGCGCACGAGAGAGAGAGAGCCCGCACGGACACGAGAAACGTGTGAAACGGTTCTTCCATCGCTGTACACCGGCTGGCCTACGTTGAAACGTTCGCAACCCCTCTCTGTTTTCGAAAACCCTTCGCCATCCCTCCCCCCCTCCACCCCCGCGCATCGCTCACACCAGGCCTTTGCGGTCTGCATGGCAGATTTATATTTGCATTTAAAATCTGCACGCTGTGGCACATCTGTCAAACGATGCATATTGAAATCTTCGCGCGTGATGGTGGTGGTGGTGGTGGTGGTTACACACCGACAGAGCGTAGGTGTTGCCAATCTGCTGGGATTATCGCTGTCACTCCACCCGCGTGCACCGAGTCACTACCACTTTTCGCTCGTTGTTTCTCCAAAATTTCACTCCTGGCGTAATAGCCTACTTCGGTCTATGGTTGGTTGACCACGCCTGTGTCTGTGTAGTCTCGCTCTCGGATACTCCGAGCGGGCAATTCCTCCTCCTCTTCCACCGCTCGAACGGTGCGCCATTATGACAGTGATTTTTAGATTGTGCGAAGTTCGAGCCTTTTGTGATCAGTAGGGAGAAAGAGGGGAATTCGACTCTTTGGCTGTTTAATTGAACGTTTAATTGTTTATTTTGTAATATTTTGAAAAGTATTCTTTCTTTCTGTCGAAATGTAACTTTTCTAATTGTGTCGGTTAATTCAATGAAATTACGAAACTATCTATGCATTACGAGAAGATACTTTGAGAATACTTAAAGAAAATTCTTTGACGATTTTCAGTTGATTTATCGTAAAGGTTATAGTTATTAACTGGCAAAATACGCAAGTAAAGATGCACTTTACTTCAGAAGGAAAGATTCAATTCCAAGTTACGCGAGTTTAAGTAGAATGAATCTCGTATTGTGTCAGACTGAATCTGCACGAAAGAGCATAACACAGGAAGGTTCGATGAACTATATTATACAAATGAAATGTCATTCCGTCTCCATCTTCCTCCGCAATTGAAAAACACCAAAAAACACCAATGACAAATAAATTACCTCCGTGTAATAAATAATCCGAAATATTTTTCCCAGTGATTTATCCAACCGAGCCAAATAGCCAGTCTACCAAATCACGTACGCCACAAACACGTGCTCCCCTACAAATGATTCCACAAATCCAGAAGGCATATATACGGATATAACACTGTCACGATTGTCCGAGCGATTCCAAGAATTAATCACTCGCCATTCCAATCAACACTTCACTAAAACCGTGCGTATTACCACGGGATATCGGTCAGTCACACTTGGCCCGACACGACGAGGACACAACTGGCCCACCGGTGAAGTGATTAAACCGGATGGGAAGCAGAGAATTTTTCGCGTCCCACCTAAATCAAACGTCTGGGCTTTCAACGTCAATAGACAACCAATAAAAACTCACTAATTGAACGACGCTCGTTCCTCCTGCTATCTTTCGTTCTCGGGAAAACAAAACCAAAAAGAGGGAGGGGGAGGGGGGAGAGGAAAAAAAGAGATGAAAAAATAAACAATATACCGCGGTGCAATCCCCTAAACTCGTTCGCCGGAAAACTGTCCGAACCGCGCGTTGGCCATTTTTATCGATCACCGAGATCCCATGTACCATAATTTCGGTCAGCAGGAAAGAATTGATTTCACGTGCATTCGGTCGTGCACACCTCCAGGGGCGCCGCCTGCAAAAACAGCGCGCGAATCGTCGCCAGGAAATTTACCGTGGCTGTTTTATGGGCGCTATTTGCCCAGCCGGGTTAGAAAATACGCGAGCAACGATGAAGGATGTCGAGTGTCATAACTGGACTGGTGGATTTCTACACGTTTTTATGGGAAATTTATGCCTGCTGTTGCTCCTTGTTACTGGACAACGTCTTTAGAATTTTCTTTTCGTAAATCTTGAACGATATCGTTGGACGTTAGAAACTAGAATAATTGCAGAGTTAAATTTGTTAATTCGAGTTGTTTTGTTTCATTAAATTCCACGATATTGATGATTTTAACGAAATGAGATGCCTTGAATTTGTGTGACGTTACATGAATTATTATTTAAACTTTATCACATATGTAATGAAACTGAGAAATGGCCAAAAATTGCAATCGACTAGTTTAGACGATAATATAGGTACATTACTACTTAATTCTCGACTTACAATGCAAGAAACGTGAAATTGCACATCTAAAGATAAAATAACATCTCTTGCTTTTCCACTTCTAGAATATTTCGATGAGAATACTTCTCTGAAATACTAAATTACTAAATTGGTATTTAGTATTTATTAATACCAAATATTAAAAATTCGAAAAAAGTATTATACAACTTCCTCAGAAATGTAAACAAAAATTGTATTCGAAAATATATGACGATAAAACTCTCAACTGGATCATAATGATTTAGCTTTTACTTTACTAGTGAATGTGAAATACAAAATACCAATTATTCTCAATTTTAATTACTACAGTCATCTGTACTCCAACGATATCATTTACACAAAGGATTTACGTGGACGCATACGAACTGTCAACCGCAATCGACCGTAACTTCGCGTCGGTACAAGAGTTGAAAAAGAGCAATAGAAAGGCAACGGAAGGTCTAGGTGAACACAAGGGATCGGTTTGCTGGCCACCCTATAATCTACGTATATACATATGCGAGCGAGGGTTGGGAAACTGGGCAAACGACACGATTGCTATCCAGGGATGAAAGTTTCGCGTCAACCTCGAGAGCCGAAGTTGCTAAGCTGTCCTGGCGATTCGTTTGCGTGGCCGAGCTGCGGCATTTTTTTTACCGCTACCAAAAAGAGTTCCTCCGTCGAGCTTTCATTTGCTTCTGTTAATTTACTGCCCCGAGCCGAGGCCAAACGATGATCAACGTGCCAGTAAATTTGCGTTTATGTTCCTTTCGACTGGGGGTGAAGTAATTTGTTTGTTTCGATGATTTGTAGTTCATTTCTAATTTGTTCTTCTTCCTCTTTTTTTTTTTTTTATTTAAGTTTGTTTCAAGATACATATTCGAGCGAAATTAATGATGAATTTTTCCAAAAATCATAATGTGCATCATTGAAGATTTATTCTGGCATAAATGTATATGATAAAATTTGAAGATTTATTCAGAATTCGAAAACGGGTTCTAAAAGTCCTCCGAAAGATAATAGTTTTGTTGTTGTTAATTATTCTAAATTACGAAATATTGAGACAAATATTATCATTTGAAATGAAATTATTTCAGATAAAAGGAACGTACAATTTTTCTATCCAGTTGTTTAATTAACGAGATGATTGACGATGCAGCGATAAACATTAATGCCATAATGATTCACATTTCAATACATACCTTATTAAAAATTAAATCATATTAATTAAATTATATTTACTATTTAAAATTAAATTATATCAATTTACATTACTGTGTGATCAAATTTGAATTCGTTTATGAGAACTATCAATTTATTCCATGTTTATTAATTAATGGACCCCTGATACTTGTCACTCACTTAACAGTACGGCATCATCATATACGATTCAATAGCATTCATACTACACTTATCATCGATTTGCACAGCTATCTAGGTGTATACAAATGTTATATACGACTTCAGTGAATATCATTTGTATAACAGGTATATACTTCTGTAAATATAAAACATATATATCTGTATAAATTAATATATTTTTAGATCCAAACTTTAGTACAAGTCACGACGAAACGTTAAACAAAATTTTACATAAACGTACGTAATATATATTCATATATCAAAAAAAAAATTCCTGTAGGCGTTCGAATACTTTCGTGAGCGACTTTTCGCATGCAAATGCTCGTAACAGTTACCTAGCTATATATTAAAATTCATATTGGGCGCAATTACTCACCTAGTGATGAGTTGATGAACTCTCGGCCACTGACCCCGCGACCTCAATATCCTGACCGTTCCCAGAAGCGACGATCTGTGCGACGGTGAGACCTCCATGGCTTTGAGGTAGTACTTGAGGGAGGGTAGCCATTTGCCTGAAGAGATGAACGACGATTTGGCGTGAGTACGAAGCCGTTTTACACCGGCCGGTTGTTTCCCCCATGTTGTTCCCCTACTTTAAACTACTTTAACCCGTACTTTGGACCGTCGCAATGGGAACCGTCGGGCTTTGTCCCACTTCAGGCTATTTAGAGCTGGTTTACCGCTGTCTACTTACCATTCTGGTACAGCCACGAAGCATATTCCGCGAGATGGTCGGCACTTTTCGGTTGTAACCGGACTACGTGTCGTAGGAGAACGCCAGCGGTTGGACCGGTTGCCAATCTCGCCAGCACTAAATAGGCTGGCGTGTACGCCGGGTCCAAGGACACGCATTTCTGCAGCATTCGTATACACTCCTCCGTTCGGTTCGTTTTCCTGTAGAAACGGAAAACAGAGCGTACGTTAGCTCGTTTTATACTGTACAAGCGATGGAAGAATTCAGTATCAAATTTAGATAAGATTTCAAGGGCCAGGAAATTATAAACTATCGAAGGTTATAGAATTAGAGCATTTAATTATATATATCTTTTGCATTCATATTGTTAAGGAGATGTTTTCGATATTTGCGGAATATGTTTATTTTGTGTTTTATGTAAGGGAATATTTATTTCCGATATTTCCTTTGAGAGCATTCAATTATTCCATCGATAGAAACTATCTTACTCAGTTATTCATACAATTTATGAAGCATGTGGAAAAAAATACGCACACGAGTTACGCTAGACGTTAAGTAGAATGAATCTCAAACCGTACGTTGTCAGGCACGTGAGAATTGTTTGATCGTAAATTCAATTAATCGTATTACATTTTCGTTTCTTTCGATATTACGATAATCTTCGGATTTGCAAATATTCGTCTGACAAATCCGATCTTTATCTACTTTGAATCGCTTGTCTCGATTTTATAACGATGACGCTTTATATTCAGTTACTAGCGAAATTTGAAGAAAAATTTGAAGACATTATATGTACATTTGTAGAAAGATTCTGATAAAAAGAGATCCAATTGATGAGAAACTGTTTAGGAAATTTTGTTCTCACACATGCATTAATCATGCAAACACGGTGATTTGTATAGTCGTTGCATACTAAGTAAAGATTTATTGGCAATTAAATTTCGGTGTGTTTCAACCGCGTTAACTATGACAACCTATTCCAATCGTGTATGACGATCACTCTCGCGGAGTGTAACATGATTACAATCAAGATATGAATGCCTGTACACTTGCTTTTAACGCACTGCGCGCATCCGTGTACAGTGTACATCATTGTGCATTCTGCATGCTTCATCGTTCCGTGAAATGCCACTGTCCATGTCGCTAATTTCGCCTGCACTGATTAATACAATTTTCCCTGAATGACCGGCGAAACCCAGTGAAATGATATGAACTGCTCAAAATTTTAACCTAACGATCTACTAGCGTTCGTCCTAAATTTCGAAAGTTGATCGTCTGTGAATTTTAATTACCCTCGTAGTTGGCAATAACGAGCGATCAAAATATTTCATCATTATTCCGATCGTGCAACTTTGTACCATTACACATACAAAAAAAGAACGAAACCTAAGCTAAATAAAGTACGAATTAAAATTACAAAACGTTTGATATTATATTTTTAAACAAAAATATTCGTTTCGCTCGTCGAGTATTATAACTGCATTGTGGATGAGAAATTTGGAGATGCAAAAATGTGGAGAATAATGTACAAGAATATATAAAGTATCCAAAATATGTATACAATACATAGTATCATGTATATGTAGTAATATCTAGTACATTACAATATTTAGTAGATAAAACAATTTCCTATCTAACTTTTACTTTTCGAACTATATTCGTGAAAATACGAATTTACACAAATGTATGCAGAGTTCAATCACAAAATATGGATACATTTTATATTTATCGTATATTTATTACGTACGAAAATGTATCAGAACGTGGATTTAGCACACTGAAACAAGAAAACAACAAATTCCAAGCTTCTAGACGTCTTGTCATTGAGATTCTGACTTGTTTAAAGTGATCTGTTCGAATTTGTTGGCAATCAAAAATACAAAAATTCGACTCTATCTCAGAAATAAAGTCATATCGGGCATCATCTTTTTCTTATATTAATTTGATTTAAATCTGAAACACGTATGTCCTCGCACACAAAACCCTGTATACAATCTAGTTGCCAGGTGAAAGTGGTTATCAGCGATTTGCAAACGAGCTCGTACCGTCGGATCTTCGGATTCCACGATCCGTAACACGCTTTATAAGCCGGGTAATCCGCGGCGCACGGTGCCCAGGGATTTCAGGGCAGAAAATACTTTCGCGGAGGAGAGGAGAGAGTTGAAAAATTTATGGACAGTGTTTTCCCCGCGAGCCGAAACAAGACGAAAATAGAGTGGAGCGGCGCGGCAGCCAGCCCGAGTGAAACGAAACGAGCAATGGCGCGGCGGTGTGCACGCACGCACGCCTCTCTCGCTCCCGACGTCAATTAAACTTTAATTTATCAAGCAGGAGGCGTTAATTAAAGTTTAATTTTGACCACGCCGCTAGAATTACCTTGCCACGCTAAATTTATCGCGTAGCATGCACTTTCGGTATACCATTGCCTCGATATACCATTAATAAAGCAGAAACCCTGTTGGATTTGTCGGGAGATTCTTCCCGTAACTTTGTTTACTCTCGCGCGCGATGGGAGACTTCATTAGACCCTCCGGCATTTGGCGGAACGAGAATTATCCTTGATTTCGACTCGTTGTTCCCTGCTGCGTATCCTACTTCGTTTATTCGTTTTTTCTTCTCCTTTTTCTTTTTTTTTTTTTCTTTTTTTAAGCAAACAGATGCATTGCTTCTTCGCTTTCGAGTTTCGCAGGCTGTGCGAGAGTGTATCTTTCAATCTGCGTGTTGCAAATGTGTTTCAACAAATTTTGAAGATCTTCTGTCAAACTTGTGAAAGTAATTCAATCTTCTAGATTTTTATAACGTAATTAATCTGATTAATGATTCACTCTTTATTTACTTTTTGCTGTTTTAAATGTATATTTGAAATTGAACGTAAAATGGATTTATTTAATATTCCATTAAATCAGTGAATCGAATGTGAATCGATTGGTCGTTGAACTTCACTTAATTTGCTTAATTTGGAGAATTTTCTCCTGTATATAATATATATAATAAAATCTCTGATGCAGTATGTGACTAACTTTTCGGATTATTTGGATTCTCGTATTATTAATGAATTTTTGTAAGTCATAAATACTCGTAAATTAAATAATGATCGTCCTATTTGAAGTCGTAGAAATCGTTTGTACAAATTGTCACTTACCAATTTATTAATATTATTGATTAATAAAACGAATTCGTGAAATATTGACTATATTTTTTTGATTTATATAGGTTGAAATAGAAAATCATTCTATTATCAATTAGACGAGATCAGATTACAGAAAGAGATTCAACATTCACTAACAATTCAGAAAGAAGAACTAAACCACTAATTACAGAATCGAAACTGTTCGACTGTATCTTTAAACAAATGTACGATCAACACTTTCTCTATTCTGAGAAATCCAACAATTAACTTCGACAGAACCGATTAATTTAGATCCCACGTGACTAGTATTACCAGCTTCATCTGGCATTTCTTTCACGAAATGAAATCGGTTGTCCACTGACCTGTAGAGTTGACCAAGATTGTAATGAGCGTTCACGTGACCCGGCTGAGCGTGTATGGCGGCCAAAAAATGCTGCTCCGCTTGATCGCCGACCGTGAGCGTTCCGAGGTTGTTATGCGCACTGGCGTAGGTCGGCCACAGCCTGTAATCAAATAAACGCCGCTTATTTACAAAGTGATTAATGATCCGGAGGAGCACAGTGCGTTTCCATGCATTTAATCGCCAAGATAATTCCGTTTCAATCTCTCCTGCGAGCATACGTGCTCGTGTAATAATAATCGATCTCTGTGACGGGAATAATTTTCCATCCTTCCCGAAAATTTGCGAAATTTCCCCAGTATCGCGGAAAAGTCACACCCACGATTGCAAGCTGCTGTTTTGTAAACTCGAGTCAATTTCCTCGCACTCGCGATATTCGTGGAGCGGGCTGAACGATTTCACTCGCGCAGCTTCTCGTTTGCGAATACAAACGTTCGTACAGACAGCGTTGAAAAATCACACGTCGCGGCTTTGACCGATCATTCTGTCTATCGACTTATGCGACTGAACTGTTCTCGCTGTGTTCTCTCGTGCTTCGTACACACAGAGTCCCCCCCGAGACACGCCAACGACCAATCAGGTCACATTTCGATCGTGGAAGTGGAAACGTTATTCGTTAGAAGCTTACAGCGTGCAATTATTTCAACATCAATTACCACGATGGATCGCGGATCTTTATGCAAATGTACATTTTTGAGAGTACGACTGAAAAATGGTCGACTTCGGAAGAGAAATGTTTTACGTGTGAGAAGCGTCGTGGAGAAATGTACACGTGTTTTACGTAGCTTTTTTTGCAACACTCTGTATATATTCTTTGCAATTTTGCAAAGTCGAGAAGTGCAAAAATGGCTCGCAGGTTGTTAACTGACAATTTGGGAAAAAGTAAGCACGTGTGTTTGACTTTGTGAATCAATTTCATTTCGCACGAGAGTTTCGAGGATTCGCGCACACTTCTGTGCGAACAAAAGGCAAGCTCGCGGCAACCTCGAAAAGCTGAATTAGGTAATTCCTTCGCACGGAGCGATTCACCTTTCTACACTGGGAGGAAATTACGTTTCGCAGAAATTTCCGAAGGTTTCCTTCGTTACCGAATGCCCCATATAGCCAAGTGGAACAGTAGAAACAGATACCTGCTAATTATCGTTTAGTTAGGGGAAAGAACGAATGGGTTGGCGCAGGAAATTAAATGCCACGCGTTGGTTGGTTTTTCGATCGCCAGGTATTTGGATTCCTTACGCTTAATAGCTCGAATTGTTGATAGACCCCCTTTAATGAAAATTTTCTCGCCATTGTTCGTGGAACTGTTGCGAGAATCTTCATGAAAAAAGTAATTTGAACTTTATACTTGGATTTAATGTCGCCAAACCAACCAATCCTTGTAGCTTTTATTTCCTAGAAATTTTATTATCTGCATATAATATAAAATAATGTGATGAAAATACAAAATTTGTTTAGAGTTTTCCAATAAATATAACAATAAATATATCTTAACACTTAAAACGTATTGGCACTTTACGTATACCTATTGCAATCGACCAAATGACCGGTTATGAGATAAATATTCTTTTACAAAAATAATACAACTAATTGTCAATTTAATACAGAAAACAATGCAAACAGAACAACTGTTGGATATAGAAGAAGATTATATATTTTCATTCTTTTTATACAAGAGTTAAATGAACGAAAGACGTGACAACGATCACAACAGAATTTGAAATCAAATTTTTAAACCGGACGTTGGTACGTTTAGTGTTGATAAATGCTCATCCAGATTCTAGCACTTATAAAATTATTAAATTTCAGCACTATTTCACGACGTGTGCTAATTTCCAAGCTAACATGTAAAATCTTAATTAATTCATGTCAACCATGTTCGTGAACTTGTATTACACAAGCTTTCAGTTTCAATACTTGCGCCTCGAAATTAACCATCGATGTAAACGGAAATCTGTAGGAAACGTCAAGTATAAAAATCTAAAGATAAATAAATCTCGAAATATAAAGCGGGATAAAATATTGAACGTGTATCCACCGAACAACGAACCTCTTCGTACTTTCTCATCCGCGAATGCAGTCACAATTCGAACACGCTGTACACTTCGGAAGACACTGATTTTCAGAAAACATTTAACCACGTTGCTATGTTTAAGAGCACAATCCCGCTCTTTGGTTAATTCCTGTGCTCGCGCCGACGCGCCGCCGCAAACCTAATTTTCGAAGTAACGTAGTTAGCGAAAATGCATTACCGCGGGAACGCGTTCTGACAAAACTTCCCTAACTTTTGACGAGAAACGTATATATATTTTCTGGCAGTGATTCTTCGCCAATATCGCGGTGAGCATTAAAGATATACAACTGTGTGTATTTCCGCGGCCGCAGGGTTTTTCAGATTTTTCAGCGGAAGTCAGCTCGCGAAACTGAATTAAACTTTCTTCCATCGAAATAAAGAATATTTCCGGCGACTAAACAATCGTCGTCGGTGGAACGTTCGTTGTTTCTCCGACGTCCACCGTTTCGCAATTATAACGAAACGAAACTTGTACATTTCCATCCTGGATCGCTAATCTAAACTTTAATTCGTTCAGAAAATTAACTGTTGCTTCTTGAACTCATTAAAGGGCGACTGGGGTTCCGTGAACGCAGTATTTCATTTGCAATTATTTTTAACGAGTTCGTTCTATTGAATTGAATTTCTTCTTTTCTTTCTTTCTTTCTTTCTTTTTTTTTTTTTTTTTTAATAATGGAGCTGAGAGAAGAAATTCCACTCGCTTGATATTCTTTCATCTGGTTGATGGCGCTTTCACTTAGACTCTACAATTATATAATATTACGATGTATTACCATATGTGTACGTTTATTATATATTATAATTATTTTACATTACATTTACTTCACTTATTATTAGAAATGATGTACATTGTCACTTTATATATCGTTACTGATTTAATAGAATATTTTCTATGAAACTGTGAATACCTCTTGATACGATCTTTCACCTAACGCGAAGATATTCGATGGAATATCAGAACGCTGAGAAGTGCAGATATTAACGAGATAGAAATTATATTTAGCCTCCGGTGTTAAAAGTGCATACAAAAACGAAGCTCTGTTTCCTCCGACGACAGCCCCGACGAATTACATTATTCCAAGGTAAATGCATTAAATAAAGTGCCTCGTTACATAACGAAACGAAATAATTATAGCCGCGTCGCAGTTACCTACCGTTGACGAACAGTTAATTCCTGAACGAATTAAATTTCTTCGATACAACGATGAAAATGTTAAATAACGAAAGACGAGGATTTCCGTTCGTTATGATCAAACGGGACAGTCGAGAGTCTAACGTTCATCGCAACGACCAGCACAGTCCAGCTGGAATATTCTTTATTTCGACAAGAGAAAATTTAATTCAACGAATTGGCTACCGCTAA